AGAGGGGGGCCGCGGGGGGGGCCCCCAGCCGCGTCACGGCTCCGGAGCAGCTGATGCAGAGCCGATGCCCCGAGCCAGGCCCCCCCGAATAGGACCTGCACGGCGGGGATTCCAGTGTGGGACGGTGGCATCCCATCACAAACCCCTTGCAGCTCTAAGGGCTGAGCGGGGTGCTTGGCATGCTCCGGGTGAGGGCCGGCTGCCCAGCCCTGCCCCTTTCTCCCAAAGAGTGTGGAGTCCCCACACGCCTTAGCCCAGGGCCCTGCTTGACTGTCTGCTCCCCTGGCTGCAATGCACTCAGCCACTGGTGGTGGGTGAAAGTAGGGGTGGGGGAGACAAGCTCACAACCCCGCCCACAGCCCTGCCCCTTCTGCCCAGACTCCGCCCCCCATGAGAGCCAAGCCATCCTCCCCCCACCATCACAGAGAGGTGGGACGCACACGGACCCAGGGAGGACCGGTGCTCGGGAGCAGTAACACTCCGTGCCCAGCAGACTACAGGATGAATTCTGGGGGTGGCGTATGGGTGGGTCCAGGCTGGCTGTTTGGAAAGGCAGTGCCTTCCCACGCCTAATATGCCCACCACCTGTGCACTCAGTGCAGCCTCCCCTCTCAGCCCAAAGACTGTCACCCACTGTACTGGTAAATTACCGAGCAGGAGCATTGGTCAGGTGCCGAGATCACCTGTCCCAGCCTTTGTACATTGTCTAGCGAGCTTTAACGTTTACCTGGAGAGCACAACAGATGTGAGGAGAAAGCACCTCACCGTATTTCCCCATTTCTGGGACTGGTTTTCTAGGCACTTGTATTAAGCTCATCTCTGTAGCAGCTTTAATTTTCAAACACTCCATCTTCCCCTAGTGCACTCTGCTGTGTGCCCGGACTGCGACCCCATCCCAGGAAGGGACTTGACCTGGCCCAAAGACAAATGTACTGGGATCCACTGAGACATCTACTCTTGATATGCGCAGGTATTTCCATTACCCAGCACACAGGAGAGTGACTGTTAAAATAGGTCAAGCTGGATGCGCAGCGCTCGAGTGTCCTACATGGGACAGGAGTACTGAAAGCAGCCTCATGGCCATAAGAAAACACGTAGTTGCAGAGACAACTCAGGGTTTTCAGCACAGGCGTTTACTGCAATACTCCTCCTTCCTAAGCTCAAACGGGGCTCTCACCTGCGGTGCCTGGGATGTACTGAGCCTGCAACCACAGCTCTTCCAGATAGTCCTTGATCCTCCAGCTGAAGGGCATTTCATTGCCCATGTGGACAGACACCTTCATGTCATTCTGCACCAGAATCGTCTCAGTCTGAGAGCTGCGCGGGGACATGTGCAAAACACAAGACAGTGGGCAGTTAGTGCTCAGTGCTCCCGCTTGGATGACTCAGGTCAGTGTCAGGCTGGTGGCTGGGACTAAGGGCGAAAAGCAAGGAAGACGGGACCACACAAGCTGTCCTGTCAATGACAGGATGGCATCAACAGAGCCTGTCGATTACATGTCCTTCCAGCAAGAACAAATTCATTACCTTGATAGCCCGTCAGCGCTGCACACACCACTGTGCTTTCTGGCAGCTCACCTGCTGGTCCCCACGTTGTAGGGGATGCTCAGAAGGTTCAAATCACTGAAGATGAACATCCACAGATTTTTCACGCAGCTTTCTGTGGTTGGCCTGACCAGTAACTCCAGGTTGCAGTCTCGGTCTACGATTGACACCATATGAGCCAGGAATGGCGTCACCACATTCTGGACTCGCTTCCAGAGGGTGTGTCTGTGTGTGATCGAGAAAGGGATGCACACAAAGCAGAGAGTGAGTGTTGCTGATCTGCATGGTAAGAAGTCCACGCGCGGCTGTTGTGGGAACTTTGAAGGGAAATCTTCTCCATGACATTGGCAAACCAGGGAGAGGGACCTACTCCTGCATTTCTCCACTGGCTTCTCAGGCATGTGATTCTTTCTGTTGTTTCCATTTAGTGTACCAGGGCACTTATACACTCCCTCCCTGACACCACCCCTCAACTGCGCATGCCTAAGGCCACACTCCCTCTGAAGCACAGAGAACACAGGACTAGAGAGTTACTAGCACTGGGCAGTGACTGTCAGAGCACACAAAGGTGCCATCTGTTACTTCTACTCTGTCTGGAGGACCGCGTGCCGAGCCCGGCCTGTCTGGAGGACTGTGTGCCGAGAGCTTCTTAATGATGCTTTGATCCCTAATCCCTCTAGCATCCTTCAACCCTTAACCAGGGCAGACAGGGCTACTCTGGAAAGCCAGCACTTTAAAAAGCCCAATCCTAAGTGACCAGAGTAGCTAGGGAACAGGGCACTTTGGAGAGGGCATTTAGAAGGAAAGTGTGATGGGGCTAGAAACACTTATTAAGTCTTTAAAATTAAAACCAAAGCCACCTGATTTAAAAAAAAAAAAAAAAGGATGCAGGCAGAAGCCCAGCAAGAGAGTGGGGGCTATCCAGTTTATTGCACCCAGTGTAGCATGTATGAATACCTGCCCTATGGCAGGTGCCCTTGGTGTGCATTTGAGGCAAGGAGCTCCTGGTCCTCAGAGACCGTGTACGGACTTTGGAGACCTCGGTGGCTGAACTGGAAGAGCTAAGGGAAACAGAGAGGTACAACTTTGGAGACCTGGGTGGCTAAACTGGAAGAGCTAAGGGAAGCAGAGAGGTACATAGATGAGACGGGACACAGCTGAACAGTACCACTGACAGTGCGTTGCCCTGCACGTACATAGATGAGATGGGACACAGTTGAACAGTACCACTGACAGTGCGTTGCCCTGCACTGGCCCTTTAGGGGCTGAGAGTGGAGTCATGGGCAAGCCCAGCTGAGGCAGCTAATGAGGGCCCAGGTGGAGGCTATAAAGAGCAACTCCTGGAAGGAGGAGAGACACCTGCCTGCTGCTCTGGACGGAGGGCAATAGAGACTGGACGGCCAAGGAAGCCAGAAGCTCCCTGGAAGACGGCAGGGCTGGGGAGGCTTTTGGGCCTAGCAAACCCAGGCTACCAGGCCTGAGGCCCTAGGGGCTGCGAAAGGCAGTCATGAAAGGCCAGGCTGCGAGAGGCGGATGCGGTAGGCTGGGGAAGCTTGGGCCAGGGAAGCCCCAGGCTGTAAGGCCTAACGGCAGGGTTGCAGGAAGCAGCCTGGTAGGCAGAGGTAGCAGGTCCACACCCTTTGCCAGGGAGGAGTGGCCTGTAGGGATTACAGTCTGCCCGGAGACAGGGGCTAGAGAGGGACTGGCAGTGGGGCACTGAGGCCTGGGGGGACCGATGGAGGACATAGGGGAAGATGCCAGCAGAAGGGGACGTGTCAGAACAGCCAGCTAACTCCCCAAAGTCACCTTGCTGAAGGTGCCATGCTGGTGAGTCGACCCCATTACACACTCCCTGTCAGACAGCTGAGGACATGAAGGAGATTCCCCAACCTGAGCCATTCCTTTTAGGTGACAGAACTGAAGAACTGTTCCAGGTTGAAGTGTCATCAGAGGATGTTTTGGAACAAACTGATCAACTAAACAGTACAAGTCACCAGAAGCACATGGCATTCACCCAAGAGTTCCGAAAGAACTCAAATGTGAAACCGCAGCACTACTAACTGTGGTTTGTAACCTATCCTTTACATCATCTTCTGTACCAAACGACTAGAATCTAGAGGATAGCTAATGTGATGCCAATGTTTACAGAGGGGATCTTCGCAATTAGACTGTTATGTCTAACTTCAGCACTGGGCCAACTGGTTGAAACTGTAGTTAAGAACAGAATTGTCAGACATAGAGATGAATGCAATGTGTTGAGGAAAAGACAACTAATTAGCCAGGATGGGTGGGGATGATGTCCCTCACCTCTGTTTGAGAAGGGCTGGAAATGGATAACAGGAGACGGATCAGACAATGCCGTACCCATGGAGGACATGGAGGAAGATGCCAGCAGAAGGGGACATGTCAGAACAGCCAGCTAACTCCCCAAAGTCACCTTGCTGAAGGTGCCATGCTGGTGAGTCGACCCCATTACACACTCCCTGTCAGACAGCTGAGGACATGAAGGAGATTCCCCAACCTGAGCCATTCCTTTTAGGTGACAGAACTGAAGAACTGTTCCAGGTTGAAGTGTCATCAGAGGATGTTTTGGAACAAACTGATCAACTAAACAGTACAAGTCACCAGAAGCACATGGCATTCACCCAAGAGTTCCGAAAGAACTCAAATGTGAAACCGCAGCACTACTAACTGTGGTTTGTAACCTATCCTTTACATCATCTTCTGTACCAAACGACTAGAATCTAGAGGATAGCTAATGTGATGCCAATGTTTACAGAGGGGATCTTCGCAATTAGACTGTTATGTCTAACTTCAGCACTGGGCCAACTGGTTGAAACTGTAGTTAAGAACAGAATTGTCAGACATAGAGATGAATGCAATGTGTTGAGGAAAAGACAACTAATTAGCCAGGATGGGTGGGGATGATGTCCCTCACCTCTGTTTGAGAAGGGCTGGAAATGGATAACAGGAGACGGATCACTTGATGATTTCCTGTTTCTGATCATTATCTGTGGGGCATCTGGCATTGGCCACTTTACTGAAGAACTGTCCCAGGTTGAAGTGTCATCGAGATCAACAAAACGTGGACCGGGGAGAGGGGTCCAGTGGATATAATGTACTTAGATTTCCAGAAAACATTTGACAAGTTCCCTCGCCAAATGCTCTTAAAGTAAGTGGTCATGGGATACAACGTAAGGAAGGTCTCCTATCAACAAAATGTGGACCGGGGGGGAGGGGTCCAGTGGATATAATGTACTTAACTGAAGAACTGTTCCAGGTTGAAGTGTCATCAGAGGATGTTTTGGAACAAACTGATCAACTAAACAGTACAAGTCACCAGAAGCACATGGCATTCACCCAAGAGTTCCGAAAGAACTCAAATGTGAAACCGCAGCACTACTAACTGTGGTTTGTAACCTATCCTTTACATCATCTTCTGTACCAAACGACTAGAATCTAGAGGATAGCTAATGTGATGCCAATGTTTACAGAGGGGATCTTCGCAATTAGACTGTTATGTCTAACTTCAGCACTGGGCCAACTGGTTGAAACTGTAGTTAAGAACAGAATTGTCAGACATAGAGATGAATGCAATGTGTTGAGGAAAAGACAACTAATTAGCCAGGATGGGTGGGGATGATGTCCCTCACCTCTGTTTGAGAAGGGCTGGAAATGGATAACAGGAGACGGATCACTTGATGATTTCCTGTTTCTGATCATTATCTGTGGGGCATCTGGCATTGGCCACTTTTGGAAGACAGGATACTGGGCTAGATGGACCTCTGGTCTGACCCAGTACAGCCATTTTTATGACAACATGATTTTTGTAAAGGGAAATCATGCCACACCAATCTACTAGAATTCTTTAAGGAGATCAACAAAATGTGGACCGGGGGGGAGGGGTCCAGTGGATATAATGTACTTAGATTTCCAGAAAACCTTTGACAAGTTCCCTCGCCAAAGGCTCTTAAAGTAAGTGGTCATGGGATACAATGTAAGGAAGGTCTCCTCATTGACTGATGACTGTTTAAAAGATAGGAAATAAAGGACGACTAGAATCTAGAGGATAGCTAATGTGATGCCAATGTTTACAGAGGGGATCTTCGCAATTAGACTGTTATGTCTAACTTCAGCACTGGGCCAACTGGTTGAAACTGTAGTTAAGAACAGAATTGTCAGACATAGAGATGAATGCAATGTGTTGAGGAAAAGACAACTAATTAGCCAGGATGGGTGGGGATGATGTCCCTCACCTCTGTTTGAGAAGGGCTGGAAATGGATAACAGGAGACGGATCACTTGATGATTTCCTGTTTCTGATCATTATCTGTGGGGCATCTGGCATTGGCCACTTTTGGAAGACAGGATACTGGGCTAGATGGACCTCTGGTCTGACCCAGTACAGCCATTTTTATGACAACATGATTTTTGTAAAGGGAAATCATGCCACACCAATCTACTAGAATTCTTTAAGGAGATCAACAAAATGTGGACCGGGGGGGAGGGGTCCAGTGGATATAATGTACTTAGATTTCCAGAAAACCTTTGACAAGTTCCCTCGCCAAAGGCTCTTAAAGTAAGTGGTCATGGGATACAATGTAAGGAAGGTCTCCTCATTGACTGATGACTGTTTAAAAGATAGGAAATAAAGGATAGGAATAAATGGTCAGTTTTCAGAATGGAGAGAGGTAACCTCTGGTGTCTCCCAGGGAGCTGTATGGGACCAATCCTATTCAACATATTCATAAATGATCTAGAGATGAATGCAATGTGTTGAGGAAAAGACAACTAATTAGCCAGGATGGGTGGGGATGATGTCCCTCACCTCTGTTTGAGAAGGGCTGGAAATGGATAACAGGAGACGGATCACTTGATGATTTCCTGTTTCTGATCATTATCTGTGGGGCATCTGGCATTGGCCACTTTTGGAAGACAGGATACTGGGCTAGATGGACCTCTGGTCTGACCCAGTACAGCCATTTTTATGACAACATGATTTTTGTAAAGGGAAATCATGCCACACCAATCTACTAGAATTCTTTAAGGAGATCAACAAAATGTGGACCGGGGGGGAGGGGTCCAGTGGATATAATGTACTTAGATTTCCAGAAAACCTTTGACAAGTTCCCTCGCCAAAGGCTCTTAAAGTAAGTGGTCATGGGATACAATGTAAGGAAGGTCTCCTCATTGACTGATGACTGTTTAAAAGATAGGAAATAAAGGATAGGAATAAATGGTCAGTTTTCAGAATGGAGAGAGGTAACCTCTGGTGTCTCCCAGGGAGCTGTATGGGACCAATCCTATTCAACATATTCATAAATGATCTGTAGAAAGGGGTAAACAGTGAGATGGCAAAATTTGCGGATGATACAAAACTGCTCAAGATAGTTAAGTGTACAGCAGACTGCGAAGAGCTTCAAAAGGATCCCACAAAACCAAGTGGGCAACAAAATGGCAGATGAAATTCTATTTGATAAAAGCAAAGTAATGCACATTAGAAAACATCATCCCATCCTAAGTTCCCTGAAAGCTGCATGGCCGCACAGCTGCCTATTTAGCTTTGTGCAGATGCTGAAGGATCCTGCCCAGGAACCTGCTGTAGCTGGGGGAGGATTGTCTCTCATCCAGCCCCCCACAATGCAGAGTCAACCTGTGAAACTGCTTGCCAGAGGATGTTGTAAAGGCCAAGCCTAGGACAGGGTTCAAATAAGATCTAGATAAACACATGCGAGAGAGCCATTGATGGACCTATTAGCCAGGCTAGGCAGGGATGGTGTCCCTAGCCTCTGTTTGACAGAAGCCAAATCACTTAATTCCCTGTTCTGTTCATTCCCTCTGGGGCACCTGGCATTGGGTGGATGGACCTTTGGTCTGACCCAGTATGGCCGTTCTTATGGTTTATGATTTCTATTCAGACAGACAGTTTTGAAAAAGCTGCCAAATGATAATGTGGTTAGTTACTGCCCCCACCTGAAAGTCCCTGCCTCCTGGAGGGCGTTAAGGTTCAAAGCCTCCAGCAGCACCCAGTCTTCCTTGTTTATTAAATTTTCTTCTTGTTTCTTCAAAAGGCTGAAGAGACGATTCTTTGAGATCTTCAGGAAGGAGGCTGGAAAGAGCAGAGAACTCAGCGACCCCTTTTGATTACCCCAACACAAAGGCCAAATGTGGAAGTGACCAACAGTACTTTCCCCAAGTTTCCATCAACAATCCAGGCAACAAAGAAAAACGACTGATTTGTAGCAGCTCCTGAGAATGAGATCTCAGACCAGGCAGTTCCCAAGGGCGGAATTAATAGAGTCTATACAGACAAACTCCAGTGAAGTGCACATCACTTTGGAGATGATGCACAGGCACTAGGGGTCCTGAGGATCTTCCCACTGGCTCTGGCTATGTAGTCTCAGAAAAGCTCCCTGTCCAAAAGGGTCATTTCCCACCACCTCAAACCAAGCCAAGCAGAGACTCTTCAAGGATTTGTCAGCCTTCTCCTCCCCCACCCTGGAATTATACAGTAGGTTTATCTCTGGGTGTCTGGACAGAAGCCAGTTCCCATGATGCTACTGTCACTCCTCAGAGGGCCTCACAAGAGAGTTCAGCCCACCAGACAAACCCAGCTGCCCACAAGCACTTCAAGCAAAGCCTCATACCTTTCAAAGCATCTTCATCAGACAGAAAGCCAAGAAGAATCTCAATTCTCTTTGTGCTACGGCAAAAGCCCTCATTTTGGTCGCGTAGCATTCCCACCGCACTCTGCACGCAGCTCCTCATTAGAGTGGTGGTGTCCAGGACTTGGGTCTTTCCAGGCACAGAAAGAAAACATCTAGTATCACTCCATGATTATAGTTTAAAGAGGGGGGAACAAGTATATTCTTAACATGCCTGTGTAAATACACAAATTTGCTCCTGTCTCCTCCTTTCGTTTCACTCCCATTCAGAGCCTTTCTGTGCTAGGCTACATGTTTTATCTGACTTACTACTCCGCTGGCTACCGTGAGCTGGCTCCTCGCCTCACAGTAACTGAAAGATAGGACAAGATTCCCATGTAGTTCAGAACTCAGAAGTGGAGGGGATATTAACTTAGGGGCTTACAACAAGACAACCCGGGAAATGCAGACATCAGTGAGATGCAAGTCCTGTGCAGATTCAGTCTGACAGTTCCATATTCTTTGGAGTTCGTGTAAAGCGTGGCGAGCACAAGCACAAGCCAGCACTACCCGGTTCTGGCCTAGGTCCCCTAGCCAGTAAGGACAGGAGTTTGATACTAACATGGTTTCAACTGCAAGTGAATGAAGGTAAATGCTCGGAAATGTAGACCGTAGCCCTAGAGACTCAGAGTGAGTGACAGAGCAGCCCAGGGGAATCCACGGAGTGATGTAGAGAATCATTTCTTTAATGATTCTGATTTTTATAGGCCATCATTTTCAATAATCAAGTGTTCCTGAAGTGAATGGCAGCGTTGCAAGGGTCAGGGAGGAATTTCAGTACAAAACGTGTGATATCTTAAAGAGAGCAAAGAGGCCTATTTAGTCAGTCAAAGGAATGGATACTGAACTTACATCACGTTCCTCTGCTTCAGACACTGATGTTTCAACCTCCATCTCCTCCTCTTGCTCTTCTCCATCCACTATCATAGCTGCAATCACAATACACAACTTCACATTAGAAAAACACAATTCACTGCTAGGGCACTGGGATGAAGAGGTTCTACAGACTGGACACTAAAGCACTAGATCATCTGTAGAGTCTCTGCTCACCTGCAGAGCAGCTGAGTGTGGATCTTTAAGCACAGCTGCAGATGCTGAACCCATAGGCCTTCACGAGCAAGTGACCATGATTTCGGAGCTGGTGGGGCAGGCATTGAACCCACACTTTTATTCTCAGACCATGTCACCACTTGCTGTGCTGGAGATTAATCTTGCGTTCGATTTAGTAGGTCTAGTAAGGACCCACTAAATCGAACGCTGAGGGTGCCTCCAGTTAGCGCCAGTACTCCTACTCCTTGCAAGGAGCAAGAGAAGCCAATGGGAACATTTGCTCCTGTCAACCTCCTGCTGTGGAGACGGTGCCAAGCTTGGCTTAAGATAAGTCAATGCCAACTATGTTATTTAAGTAGCTTAGTTGTGTATCTTAGGCAGACCTTCCAGGTCTAGTGTAGAGCTGGCCTCAGTCCTCCATTAAGGAATGTAGTGAAAGAAGAAAGCAGGAAGAATTGGGGAAAGTATAATCCTAATAGGGGTAGCTGCATTAGTCTGCATCTGCAAAAACAATGGGGAGTCCTGTGGTAACTTAAAGACTAAAAGATTTATTAGGGACTCCTCGTTGTTCTTGGAAAGTATGTTTTCCTTCTATGTATTTAGGTGAATGAAAAACAAAAATCTATTCATGACCGTGAGAAACTGTTTCCCATGCTGACATTCTCTCAGTCCTTAGCCAGAGCACCTCAATTCTGAGCAGCAAAACTCCCATTATTCAAATTCTAGGACCCTTTCTCACATAATCAAGTCCTGAAATGCTGCATGCCCTTCTATTCCAGTCCTAAGAGGGGGTACCCAACAGCATGTTTGGGTGGCAAAGAGCAGTGCACATGCATCCTCTGTAGCCCATTCAATAGCCTCCAAAGAAGGAATAAACTGAGATTTTATGTTTGGTATGCCCAGAGTCATGCACTGCTCTACCAGAAATAAATAGATGTCCAGTTTACAAAACTTACATTGTATTTATGGTATTTTTTACAGTTTTGAAAACTTTTCTACAGATGTCCAGTTTACAAAACTTACGTTGTATTTATGGTATTTTTTACAGTTTTGAAAACTTTTCTAATACTTGAGAGTTCTTATTAGAACAGGGCTGGGTAAGATGCAGCCCGGGAGCCGAATCCAGGCCGCCTAACACTTTGATCCGGGCCCGTGGACTGCATCTGGCTGCTCTCTATTTATGTCCTGCTGCCCATGCCACCAAATTTCCAGGTGATGGCTCAGGCATCAGGATCCTATTTAAATGGCTAACAGCTCCCTATCATGGTGCTACCCTGGCAGGGGCCAGAGGCCCTTTGCAGTTTTTAATTCAAAGCCTCCTGCCCCTGACAACATTGGGGGGAGGCTAGTTCCCCACCCCTTCTGCCCCACCCCTTTCGAGAGATGGAGCTGGCCTGTGACCACATAACAAAATTCTTTAAGTGGCCCCCCCCTGCAAAAATTATTGCCCAGCCCTGCATTTGAATCTCTGTGCTGAATGAGGATGCTTTTCTTTCATGTGCTGACTCACTGATCTCCACACATCACTAGCATAACAAAATTCTTTAAGTGGCCCCCCCCTGCAAAAATTATTGCCCAGCCCTGCATTAGAACCTCTGGGCTGAATGAGGATGCTTTTCTTTCATGTGCTGACTCACTGATCTCCACACATCACTAGGCCTGGGATTCATGGACCTCTCCTTCCTATCCCCCTAGGGAGCCTGGGGAGAGGGGGCGAGAGGAAGGAGAACCCAGCATGTAGCGTACGTTCAGGCTTGCCCACATCTTCACAGAACAGTTGGCTGAGAGTGAGGTTCCTTAAGGCAGTTACATCAGAGACCATGTCCTTGGATCTGCGGAGGTCGTCGAGGTGCACGGACTGCCACAGCCCTGAAAGCAGAGAACAAGGCATTTCAGGTGTGTAACATGCACTTCCATGGACACTTCCACACAACAGACGGGCCTGGCCCAACAGCCTAATGATTTATGCTCTGAACTGCCATGGTTTGATTCTTGTATCACCGGACAGCGATCCTGCCAATTAAGAAGTTGCAGTGACATGCCCTGGATGTGGCAGTGTGGGATTCTCCTCACCTGGAAAGATAAGCCTGTTAAGGGGGCCCAGAGGATGCAGTTAACACAAAGAGACTCCTCAGGGCACAACAGGGCTGGTAGGACCTGCTGGGGAAAATTGAGCCTAGCCATGTGGGGGGTGGGGGAGGAGGGGCAACAGCTGGGGTTTCTACCACATGAAACTGGAGGAATATTTATTTAGTGCTGAGTACCGAAATAAGGCAGGCTTCCAAAAGACACTGGGAGGATCCAGGTGAGCTGGGGCTCACAGCGAGCACTAGCAGCTCTGACAATCCACAGAAAACACTGACACAGCCCTGTTTAAAAAGGAGCATGCACTGACCGGAAACCACAACAGTCTTTTGGCTCCTGGATCAAATCAGGAGCTCTGAAAATGCCAGCCTCACCTCCATGGAATCCCACGTAAGAGGTTCCACCTTCGATCCGGGACAGCTTAGTGATAAAGTAGACAAAGACTGAGATGTCTCCCAACTCCACCTTGTTAATTTCATTAACAGCCGAGTATCTAGGAGGGAAGGAACAAGTCCAAAGATAAGTTCAGTACGGTACCCTAAACAGGGCAACCTTGTTCAGGCTTCCAGGGCACGCATACCATCCTTCCACAACACTGACCACAGGGCACTGGAATCTCTTCCGCCCCACCCCTCCTGTAAGAGGCAAACACAAACTGAGGCCATGTCTTCACTTCAAGGATTGATCTTCTGGAGTTCGATTTAATGGGTTTAATTAAGATCAGCGAAATCAAACTCAGAGGGTGCCCCTGTTGGCTTGGTACTCCCACTCCTGCAAGGAGTAAAGGAAACCAGTGGGACTGTTTGCGCCCATTGGCATCCCACTGTGGGGACTGCGAGGAAACTTGAATCAAGGTATGTCAACTCCAGCTACATAATTAACGTAGCTGGAGTTGTGTATCTTGAGTCAACCTTCCCTTTTAGTGTAGTGCTGGCCTGGGACTTTCTACCCTTGGCAGTTTGTCCTGACCCTGCTATGAATAACTTTTTTTTGGTAGCCATCCCCCACTTTCCTCAGCATTTCTGAGCTTTCAACTAAAAGTCTTTCCAGAGAGAAAGAGAGAGACAGAGACAGAGAGAGAGATTGTCTAAAGCCTGGCAGGGTCTCGATTAGATACATCTGCTATACTGGGGAACGAGAGGCCCCAATGAGTGATGCTCCCAAATGCATGGTGAGGGAGGGACCTTACAACAGTCAGCAACAATCCATGCAGCAGGACATACTTGGCTGAGGCAACGAGCTGGGTGCTTTGAGAACCCTCTTCAAAGTCCATCTGAATAATTAGGATTTTGTGTCCATCTGTAGAATCAAGGAAATTCCTGGGGCAAAAAAGAAAATAAAGAAAATGCTTCCATAGGAACCGTGGCTACTTGCACAGAGAACAAGACATTAAACATCCCCCCTATGTAACAACCACCCATGTCATACAATCGACAGGTACTCTGCTGTTTATTTTTATATATGTTTCTGTTTCCACTCCAATTCATCTGATGAAGTGAGTTTTGTCCATGTAACCTCATGATGCAATATATTTTGGTTAGTCTCTAAGGTGCCACAGGACTACTCATGGTTTTCCATGTAATTGTAGTGTAATTTTAGAAAAAAATTCCCCTTTATCAACTTGGCAGTGATACAATATGCTCCAAATCACCTTACCCACCCCCTCACCTTAACTTTGCCCCCTCTTCCTTCCTACCCTCTCTTTTGTCCCATACTTACCACCCTAACAATCTGTCAGTATTGAACTCAGCCCAGACTGTCAGCTCCTCCGAGCAGAAGGCAGATGACTCACCGAATCTCCTTCAGGAATGAGTGTTCCGTGTCGAATTGCTGAAGAGACCAGGACCGGATGGAGAGGTTCTGAACCTTCCCCTGCACTTCTGCCTTCAAATGCTCAGAGTCGGTAGCTGTCAGAAGCCTGGAGAATGTGGTGATCTTAGAGACAAGAATAGAAAAGTCAGTTCTTAGCTCAGACACGAACAAGGAAAGTAGCAACTGAATGACCACCTTTGCCTGCCTATCTTTGATAGTGATGCCACTCAGCCTCATATGTAAGGCCCTTTCTGGTAGAGCTCTTCTCCCTTGACTCTCGTCATGTTTACACTTCAATAACCCCCTTTCACACAGTCCATGAGACCTGCCTTTTGGGGAAGTGTTTTGGGTTTCTTTGAGCATTCTCAGGCTCCACATGGACTAGCTGGAGGACTAAACCAACTACCCAGAGGTAGATACAAAAGGCAAGTGTTAAGGAGGCCCTGACCAGTGGGGTCTAGGGGCAGTATACATCCTAGTCAGAAGGCACACCTTCCTTCCATCCCCAGTTACTGGAAAGTGCAAAGAGGAGGATGCAAAGATTTTTATTAGGGTGTTGCCCTGCATCTCTTGCATAAATGTTGTTTGTACGCAGCGTCTGGCTAACACGTCGGAAAAATGTGAAGTCCTTCAGCAGCTGCAAGGGAAAAAAGAAAGTCTGGTGCATGATACCTCTTCCATCCTTTGTTTTAGGTCACCTTCTTCTGTGAATAACTCCACAGTCTACCTCTGCTACTGCTCAGAATTAACAGCCTAAGATTGATGAGTGAACCATTTTGTTTTCTAAGCCCTGCACTACACACATGGTGTGGTCATCCCCAGCCCCTCCCACCATGCATGGCTGTAGATGTTAAGGGTTCCAAGTGACACCTAAGCCTAGCACTCTCACGTGGCCCAAGAACATACTGCCAAGACGAGGCAGGTGATTTTTATTTTTTATTGGCTCAACTTTTGTTAGCGAGAGAGGAAAGCTTTGAAGAGCACGGCCAGAAGAAGAGCTCTGTGCAGCTGGAACACTTGCCCCTCTCACTAACAGAAGTGGGTCCATTACAAGCTACTGTCTCCTGATATTCCAGGTCTGCCATGGTTACAATGCTACATAGGAGATGGCTTTGTCCATTTTCCTTTTCATTTCAATTACTTGTCTCCCATGCCACAAACCCTTGCCACATCTGGATCTGGTCTGGAGACCTTGCTAAGGGCTAATTTTTTGTCCAAGTATTCAGAGGAGGAAGATTTTCAAAGGCACAAAGGATAATTAGGCTGTGAACTCCTATTTCTGCCCTTGAAAATCTCTGGAAATACTGCCTCATGAATGCTGAGGCCACACAGATATTAAAGGCTCCAGGACGAGCCAGCAAGATGACTGGAAATGCACCTTTCACCTCACATCACTATATTTGCAAATAACGAGCAGGCCCACATCACACCTGCTTATGTCAACAGACCCTATATTACCCACAAAGTGAACGCAAAACTCTAGTGCATATCCATCTGGTGCACCTACAGATATTTTCAAAGAGAAATGTTAAGGAGACTCACCTCTGTGAAGATTGTGCGATGCCTGGACTCTGCATGGATATGGGCATGGAGGAAATCCCCAAGAGACGTGTGCTGCTGCTCTTTGAAGTACTTGTTGGCCAGATGGTCCGCTGCACAACTCAGCCGCGAACTGCCCAAACGAACTACCGAATCTGGCGTCGCACAGTTGAGCAGCACCAGTTGGGCTTCTTGTTGAACTTTTGGCATCAGTTCATCAAGATGGTACTGCTGCTTCAGCTTCTCAGTCACCTGCAGGACGACTGAGGCACACGTATCAGAGTGGTAACCAATGAAGACATCAGAAGGCCTATATTCCTGCCTGCCTCGCAGGTACTTCTCTGTATCTACTGCTATGAAGTCATCCACCCACTTCTTTAGCTCCTCCACAATGTCTCTTTGCCTTTTGTCCAGGACGGTATTAATATCCAGGTAGTGCTTCTCAAGCCTGTTGATCAGTGGGATGGGAAAGTGTTTGTATACAACCTCTTTTTCTTCAATGACAATCAAACGGAACTTGGGGTGCACTCTGCATTTCACGCGATGGGTCCCCAAACCCAAATCAACGTACTTTTGGCCACCAAGGTAGACATAATATTGGTTGAGAGCATCATACAGGCTTTCATAGAGATTCTGCAGGTTGAGGAGGACCACCATCTGCCCAATTTCCATGCAGATCTTCACACGGTTGATGTTCCTGCAGATTTGGGTGTATTCTTGGTCCTTGGGAAAGCTGGAGCCAAAGATAATCTCTGGTTGATGTCTTTTGGTGAAATAAGCCTGCTGGAGGATCTGCAGTGCAGCATAATTTTCAGTTAATACCAGCAGGTATCTGCATTCACCATCTTCACTGTCACTGCAAATGTTCTGCCAGACCAGATCAATGGTGCTGACATCATCAGCGTGCATTTCTCCTTCTTTTGGGATCCTAGACATAAATACGTTCAAGGCATCTATGTCATCTTTGCCACTGAAGTTACGGAGAACAACCTGTCCTAGGTCTCGAGGAGTGGGCTCTCTTTTTGAGGTCTTAGTGAGAGCAAAAATCATTTTTATGAGGCTGTAGTAGTCACGTAACCCAAAGAACTCCCTGTCTTGGGTCTTGCAAATCTTTTCATATGCATCTGCAAAGATAGGAAAGTAGCGTTCAATTCTTGGCAGGATGATGCGGTCGGAACAGCAAATCCCCTTTGCGCTTTCTATGAGCTCTTTGTTGCTGGGATCGCCACGTGATACAAAGATACCTCGATTCATCTTGGCGGGATCTAGGGCCCAGTTGGAGATCCCAACGAAACCAACCTTTTTGTGAGGAAGCGGATCATCATCAATGCAACCATCTTCCAAAAGCGGGTGCAGGGTCTTCAGGGGCATTTTTGGAGAGTCTTCTGCCAGCCCAATCTCATCAAGCACCACCACAGAGACATATTCCTTCAAGTTCTTTCCATCCTGGAAACGAGCACACTGCTTGAAGGTGCCAATGATTCCCTCAGGAGTGGAGTGGGGACTGCACTGGAAGGACACCAGATGGATCTGTTTCAGTTCCCTGTAAAGATCAGAATGAGCAGCCTGCCCTTGCATGGCATCAGTCACGATGGTTTTGGCAAGGGATTTGGAACTCCCAGGCTTTCCAACAAGAAACAGAGGAATTTTAAGCTCTATGCAGATGACCATCATAAAGACGTTTTCCTTCAAGGCTAAGTTCCTTGCTATGGTTTTTCTCAGAGGTGCACCACTCAAGAACAGATCCTGCATTAGGCTGATTTCTTCCAGAATCCCTTTCTGGCTATCATAAGGTTTTGGAAGGCACTTACAGATAACACTTCTGTACAACTCTTTCTTCTCCAGAGATGCATGATAGCAAACACCGACTGCAAGTACTAAGGACCAGATGACTCTGTTTCTCTGCGTGTCACATTTATCAGGCCTCTCCTTTGCCACATACTGCTCTAAATTATTTAGCAGAAGCTCACTGTGGCCATAAAACCACTTGAAAACTTCCACACAGCGCTCCACATCTCGGAGGCTGACAAAGCTGCATTCATCATTTCTTCCTCTCATGTAAGTCTGAGAGGCAAAAAGCACATCTGTGACCACCTCAATTTCAGCTGCAGATATTTGTACTGACTCAGTAAGTCTTTGTACGATCTGCTGGATATAGCTTCTTTCAGTGATATTGTTCAGCTGCCCAAAATCCCACACCAGAGGGATCATGCTTGGAGGCAGAGCATGGACACGGTACACAAGCTGCCGCAGTGGAATAGAGCCAAGCTTATCTTTGGTCTTCTCTGCTTTTACACGGTAGCCTAGACCAGCAGACTCCAAGCGCTGAATCATCTTTTCGGTGTGCTTACGGTAAGGGTTGCATGCTGCTATGATCTGCAAACCTGAGCTGCTGGCCAAAGGCTGCCCTTCAACTGTACGGTCGCACAAAATTTCCTTGATACTGCCAACAGCTTGAGTCGTGTTGGCTTCATCAAAAAACAGGATCGTGTCAAACTGATGTTGCCGTTTATTGGAGATGGCAACGTTTTCAGCTTCCCGGATCTTGGCATAGATCATCTCCGCGCTTGTGCCTCCATGAACTTTCACAAGTTTCATGTTCTCTGCATCCACGCCACTCCTGCGCAGCTCACACAGAAATTTTATAAGCCTCGTTTTCCCACAGCCGGTTTCCCCCATGATAATAACCGGGATGCCACATCTGAATCGCATCTCAATAGCAAAAATCTTGAGTATATTGTCTGTGGTGAGCTCATAGGTTTCATCAGGATCCATTGGCCACTGGATTCCCAAAACCATGCACAGTTTCTCTAGCTTCTCACTTCTGGGCAGCTGATCAAAATTAATATTGAAGGGAACTCTCTGTAGTACCAATCCCTGATACAGCTGTGTGGTCATTACATTTTTCTTGATGATGTTGCCAGTCGTGGGATTAATGGCATCAATGCCACCATTGTTATTGGGCTGCAGATGGAAGCCAATGAACGTCATGGATATGCGGTCTTCGTTAAAAAAAATGTATGGGTGGGGCTCAGACTCCCACTTTTTCCGAATGCGGAAAGGAATAAGATCCTCTTCTGTGACTCCTTCCATGTCAAAAACTTGTCGCCCTGGGCTCTGATCAGAAATGGTTAGTGAGGGTGTTGCAAAATCCCTGGCCATTAAAACCATAAAGGTGACCACAAAATTTTTGAAACCCTGCAGAGTGTCCTGGATAAAGGCAGGGTTACAGAAAACAGATGCTTCACAGTCTCTCAGCTGAACATTCAGAAACCAAGCAAAGTTTCGCAGTTCTGACCAGGTAGGATCGATCACCCCACAATGTATCAGGAACAGCTGTAGACACTCCACTGGGGTCCCTTCAACAGAGCCTTTTTCATAGCAGAACATATCAAGGTTATCCCCACGGTCAAATCGTTTCAAGTACTGGAAAGGTCTCTGGAAGGCCTCACTGCAGAACTCCTTCTGATCCATGCCAGGTTCTGTGTAGCACAGAGAAGGATCTCTTTCCATATCCATATCCAGCACTTCTTTGGGAGACTTGCATGTTATTTTGGGGAACACATCATGGAAATTATACTTCTGTCTATGTGCCATCTGTAAGAGGAAGGAACAAACAAAACTTGTAAGGTTGTAGCCTTAATCTTCTCATGCTGTTTCTTTTACATGTGCTTGCAGATTGTGGACTCCCTTTTTTGGCAGGACTGATTAGCTACAGCAGAGTTACACAGCTAGGGCACTTAATAAAAGTGAAGAGCAGGATATACAGAATGCGAGTGTAGGTGCAATAAAAATTCCTCATATATTCCCTTTCTCCACAGCCTTCTTATCCACATGTACCGCCGCCCTATCGGTCTAATACTGTCTCACAGAGAGAGGGCCATTTCAGTCATTTCCTCTTCTCCCTGACTCTGTCCGAATTTACATTCGGAAACAAATACTCCAAGATAAAATTTAAGAGCTCAGACTTGGTATTTCTCTTACTACACAAATGGTGTAGTGCAACCTGCACCATACAGCCAGTGTGAAGTAGCATTTAGTGGTGAGTGAATTGAGGAAATCTGGGTGGCTTTAAATGTTGTATGCTGGGGAGGGCAGTGATTTTCGCCAGGGGAGTAGGGGGGAGCACTTCATCAATTTTGGTATGTTGTCATGACGTGGCTCCAAGCCCTCCTGGAAGACGTGGGGTATTGGGCGGAAATGATGAGGCTAGAGAGAGAAAAAACACACTCTGTATTTGAGAGACAGACTGAATGTGTGTGGCACAGAGACTAGGAGAGAGTGTGTAGGTGGCACAGACTGTGTGTGTGCGCGTGTGTGTGTGCACGTACTGACTAGGTGGCACAGACTATGTGTGCGCGCGTGTGTGTGTGCACGTACTGACTGCATTTAGTGGTGAGTGAATTGAGGAAATCTGGGTGGCTTTAAATGTTGTATGCTGGGGAGGGCAGTGATTTTCGCCAGGGGAGTAGGGGGGAGCACTTCATCAATTTTGGTATGTTGTCATGACGTGGCTCCAAGCCCTCCTGGAAGACGTGGGGTATTGGGCGGAAATGATGAGGCTAGAGAGAGAAAAAACACACTCTGTATTTGAGAGACAGACTGAATGTGTGTGGCACAGAGACTAGGAGAGAGTGTGTAGGTGGCACAGACTGTGTGTGTGCGCGTGTGTGTGTGCACGTACTGACTGCTGCTGGGCAAGTTTCTAAGAGAAGCCACATGCTGTCTCTAAGACAGAGAAAGCTGTCCTGGGCTGTTTTCTCTTGCCTCCCCTTCTCTGCAGAAATGGGGTATGGGGAGGAGAGAGACACAGAGAGAATGAGTGGGGGGAAGGTGGAAGAGGCAGAGGGACATCCTGACTTGAGCACTCCCATTTCCCCTCCACCTGCCCTCCACCACCACCCCGCATAGCTAGCAGGTGAATCCTGGGATCAGCTAGCTGCAGGATGGAGCTAGGTGGAGGAAGGGGCAGCTGAACACAGGCCACCAGCTGTACGAATGCACCTCTGTTAATCTGCTGGGCAGGCCGGATCCAGCCCCTAGGCCTGAGTTTGCCCACCCCTGTTGGATGCATTTCACGTAAAGCAGGAACATTTATAATAGCACTTTGGACTGAAGACACATAATGCATTACAATAAATTAAAATATGAGGGATCTGTATTACATCACCGCATAAAAGAGTTCTCAGTAAATATGAGTAAGACAAAACCTCACAGACCAAGGACAGATGTAAAGAAATGGCATATGTACATATACATACAAATCTGCCTGGCTTCTTAGGTGCTGGGGATACTTCGAGAATTTCAACAATATACAAATGGCATGGCAGGCGTAGCCACATGTTCCCCTCTGTATCTGTCAGATACTGTAGAACTAACAGCTTGAAGAGAAATTCTGGAATTCCACTCTGCACCTGAGAGAATACCAGAGACTTATTAGAACAAAGAATGAGGAGAGAGAAATGTCTAGGCTTGGCAGAATTTGATATACACAGATGTATATGGATAATATCAATATCCATATATGTATTTATAGATAAGCTAGATAAAATATTTAAAATTATTAAATATAAACATTTGATATTACCTACAGTTGCAGAAAACTATAGAGGGAGTCAAAATTAATTAATGCTGGTAGATGTTTAGATTCAGAAACCTAAACCTTTATAAACCATTAAAGCACAAACTGTCGACATCACATGTCAAAAATATACAAACAACTTTAAATTAACAAATCACATAGTTGGTTTTGCTGTTCAACTGCTAGTGTCCATTGGTAACCAGCCTAACTCCAAAGCCTGAATCACTGGATTTTCACACTTGGGCTGTGTCTACACTACATGCCTCTGTCGGCAGAGGCATGTAGATTAGGGTTGTAGGCAAAGGTAAATGAAGCCGCGATTTAAATGATCGCGGCTTCATTTACATTTACATGGCTGCCGCGCTGAGCCGACAAACAGCTGATCAGCTGTTTGTCGGCTCAGCGCGGCAGCCATGTAAATGTAAATGAAGCCGCGATCATTTAAATCGCGGCTTCATTTACCTTTGCCTACAACCCTAATCTACATGCCTCTGCCGACAGAGGCATGTAGTGTAGACACAGCCCAAGTGTGAAAATCCAGTGATTCAGGCTTTGGAGTTAGGCTGGTTACCAATGGACACTAGCAGTTGAACAGCAAAACCAACTATGTGATTTGTTAATTTAAAGTTGTTTGTATATTTTTGACATGTGATGTTGACAGTTTGTGCTTTAATGGTTTATAAAGGTTTAGGTTTCTGAATCTAAACATCTACCAGCATTAATTAATTTTGACTCCCTCTATAGTTTTCTGCAACTGTAGGTAATATCAAATGTTTATATTTAATAATTCAAGCCGCTGTTTTCTTACTTTGCCTTATCTGTAAATTCTAATTATTACAGAAACTTGGTGGGATAATACACATGATTGGAATGTTTGTATAGAAGGATACAGCTTGCTCAGGAAGGACAGACAAGGAAAAAAGGGAGGAGGTGTTGCCTTATACATTAAAAATGAACACACTTGGAGTGAGGTGGAGATGAACATAGGAGATGGAAGTGTTGAGAGTCTCTGGGTTAGGCTAAAAGGGATTAAAAACAAGGGTGATGTCATGCTAGGAGTCTACTACAGGCCACCTACCCAGGTGAAAGAAGTGGATGAACAATATCATCCCAAA